GATCTCGGCTGGCGGGCGGTCTTGGCTGATCTCGACTGATCTTGACTGAGGCTAGTGCCATTTCATTGTGGCACAGCCCGCGTTACAAAACCTTGATTTTGACCATTTGCGCAAAAAGGTACATGTCGGTGCCTTCCAGAGGCAGCTGCGACCCCGCCGAGTAGACGGCGGCACACAGCAGGTGGCGCGGTGTGCCGCCGTCCACTCGGCTGGATCGCAGCTGCCTCTGCGCGTCCTGGGGATGTACCTTTGTCGCGCGCCGAAGGCGACTCGACGCCGCTGAGATCGGAGATCAAGCTCTGACAGGTCGCACTTTCCTCCTTTGACGCCGACGTGATTCACCCGTGCAGAGCGCATCAGGACACGGTCTCGACGCGCTCGGTACGACGCCTGCGACCCGTCTCGGGTCAGGTGGCACGACGCTCATCGCGCCCGCCAGCGCTGCCATGCAGGCTGCCACGACGAGGTCGAGCACGCTTCTATACGCTCGCCGAGCCTTCCTTTCCATCCCATTAGGCAGCCTGGGAACGGTGGCGGTCAGAGGCAAAGCCTACGAGGGGTGGTGGAACCACATGTCACGGCTACTGCCGGCTCGACCCCACGATAGCCTCAGAAGGCTGACTTTGCGGCACCATCATCGGACGATGTCGACGAGTTGGGTCGCTCTCGCGGTAGCCAGATGACCTATCATACTAGGAGCATCGGCCATGGCCGCAGGGAGCGCGGGGGAGGGCGCTGGGAGCAACACGGAGCTCCGTTGGACGTTTTCAAGATTAGCGTGTCAGAGTGAAATGGCACTAGCCTGATCGGTCGGCTGGCGGCTCTCGAAATCTTGACTGATCTCGGCTGGCGGGTCTTGGCGTGATCTCGTTCCGGCTCTCGACTGATGTCGACTGATGTCGACTGATGCGAAATCTCGACTGATCTCGGCTGGCAGCTCTGTGTCTCGATGCTCTCGACTGAATCTCGACTGATCTCGGCGGGCGGCTCTCGCGACTGATCTCGACTAATGTCCGGCTCTCGAGTCCCTCAAACTGACGTCGACTGCCGTCGACTGATGTGGGCTGGCTCAAACTTGCGGCTGGCGGCTCTCGCCACTATCTCAACTGACGTCGACTGACGTCATGTCGACTGTTGTATGATCTCGGCTGTATCTCTGTTCTCGGCTGGTGTCGACTGATGCGCGACTGATGTCGGCTGGCGGCTCTCGACTGATCTCGGCTGCCCTCCCCCTCCTCCTCCTCCTCCTTCCTCCTCCTCCTCCTTCCTCCTCCTCCCCCTCCTCCTCCCTCCTCCTCCTCAAACTCCTCCCCCTCCTTCCTCCTCCCCCTCCTTCCCTCCCTCCTCTCTGAAATTTAGGTAGCAAAATAGTGTAAGAGGTCGTTAGGCAGTTGCGCCACGGCCTTCTTTAGTAAAAGGCGAAAGAAGGGCACGTATGACGTAACCGCGATACCCTCTTCACAGTGAATTCGGGCACTCTTCAAGCGGCTCGGAACCAGGCTGCTTGTGGCGGGGCCCCCCTCGAAGGGCACGCGCCGAGGTGTTGCCTCGCGAGAACAAGCAGAAAGAGGGAGAGGGCTGAGGAGTGATAAAAGAGGGCGGCACGCGGCAGGGGGCCGGGCTCGCAATGTACAAATGGCGGCGCGGCGCGCGGCGACGGAGCAGCCACAGCTCCGCGGCAGCCGCCTCGCTCTCACCCTCGACGCGCTGAGCGATACAGATATCGCCTGTGGCGCACTCGACAGGTTACAAGGCAAAGCCGCAGCAGCGTGCCGATTCTCGCCATCGGTCGCAAACAAGACAAAGCGCGATCGCGTGAGACAACCAGGCACAGAGCCCGTGTCCGCCATGATGCACAAGCGCAGACACCACAGACAGGACAAGGGCCTACCAGAAAAGTGCTACTCTGTGCACTTCCCGCTTGACGACTATTGTGGCGTCGTTTGTGTTCAGTGAAGAGGGCTGTCGAAAGTGCGCCCGTAAGAGGGCCACCGTATCTGTCGGCTGTGCGCCCGCACTTCTCTCCCACTGTGGTACATGATGTGTACAAGTCGAGCTACACGCGCGCAAAAAGAGTAGACAGAAAACACACTGTCAGCACTCAAAGACAACAGACTCTCGCTACTCGACTAACACAACAACGGGATCGTACCTCTGAGCGCGCGCGCACGCAACCTCCACGGCTCCAGACGCAGACCAGCCTGGGGCCAGCCCCCTCGTGCAGCCGCAGCAGACAACACTTGGTGCTCTAACCCAAACTCCATCTCAAAACAGCGGAGTGCAGGCGAGCATGACGACTCCCGGCGTCGCCAGGTAGGCGATGAGCGGCAGGTGCTCCTCGACCGCCGCGAGCGGGCCGCTCTCGGCCGCGTCGGCCGCGGGCTCGCGCAGAGCCCACGCCGGCGTCCGCTCCGGCGAGGAGAGCTCAAAGACGCGCGCGATGCAGGAGCGCCAGGCGGCGGACACGTCCTTGCGCGTGTTGAGCCGGACGCCGTGCGCCTCGCAGATGGCCCGGTACTCGGGGTAGAGAGCGGAGAAGTGGCAGCCGCACACCGAGGGCATCACGTGGTGCCTACGGATAGGCTCCGAGAGTCGGGAAAAGGGGGCCCGGGCACCACCCGCACGCCGACAGCCTCGCGAGGGGCGCATCGACTGCAGCGAGAGCGAGGCCGTCAGCTTCGGCACCAGCTCGCTGCCGACCGAGTAGTCGAGCGCCGACTCGATTTGCCACCGAAAGTAGTCGTCCTGCTCGTCGCCACTCGGCGGCCGCTGGCAGTCCTCCTGCACGTGCGACACCTGCGTCATCACCGTCCAGATGGCGCCCGTCACCGCCCAGGGGTAGTACCTACGGCGGGCACGTGTCACGTGGCGTGGGACCCGTCCCTCGGCCGCGCTCCCCCACACCAAGGGGGCGGCTGCGCCAATCGAAAAAGGCCTCGAGGGCGTTGATCTCGCCTAGCGAGTCGCCACACCGCCCAAGGTCGCTGCACTACCGGCCACCACTACACCACCGGCAGGGGAGGACCCGCTCCCTCTACCCGCCTCTCTACCCGAGGGTGTGCGTGATCGCGCCGGCGAGCATCCGCAGCCACGGCCAGAGCAGCACGAAGCCCACCGGCAGCAGCGAGAGCGCCAGCTCCGCGTCGCTCACCGCGTCGGGCTTTGGCGTGACGAGGTTGCGGTACCTAGCAGTGCGCACGGCGTCTCGTGCGTCGAGCTTCTGCGAACACTACGGTGGTCGGCGGCTTGGTCTGGGTGCAGCCCATTGCGCGTCGTCTGGCTCGAATGCAGGGCATCGAATACTCCCGCGTTAAGGCTGCGGCGCCAGCGTCCCGTCGACTTTTGCTGCAGCACGCGCACCGGCCACAGCACCGACATGCCCATCGTCGAGAACTGTCGGGGAGGCGAGGGGAGGTCGCGGAGGGAGTGCACAGCACATGGAGGGGGCGTAGAGAAGGAGAACGGGGCAAGAGGAGACTGAGTCTTGGGCAGTGCATCTAGGCGGGCCCGCGTAGCCCTTGAAGATGAAGTTTGCGCCGCCGTACCCCTCGTCCACCTCGCAGCCCGGGTGGAGCCGCGCCGGGCGGAGGTGGTGCAGGTCGACGTCGAGCGCGTCGTCGTTCGTGTACTGGTGGTGCGAGAGGAGGTGCTGCGGCCACCAGATGTACGGGTTGTACACAAAGGGCAGCCTAGCGCCAGCCGCGCGCCGTGTCGAGGGCGTGCTGTGTGCGTGGTGCGTGTGCGTGCGTGAGAGGTTGTCTTGCGGCACCCGCAAAAGGCGGCCGCCTTGTTGACCCACGGCGCCGTGCTCAGCGTCGAGTGGGACGCCTCGTGCACGGTGGGCGAGAAGAGCAGCCACTGCGCAAACGGGAGCGCCAGCGTCGCGGGCAGCGACCCCGCCACCCACCCGGCAAGGCAGCCCGCCCAGACGGCAAAGGCGGCCGCGATCCGCGCCCAGTGCTCGGGCGTCGCCTTGTACTCTGCCGAGGAGCGAAAGTGGCGGCGGAGCAGCGCCTCGAGGTCGCGCTTGAGCGGCGTCTCGCCCACAGCGCCCACGGCGCCCTCCTGCCGCTGCTGCCACGCCAGCCCAGAGGCGGGAGCGACCGGCACCGGCTCCGGCGTCGCATCCGCGGGCGGAGACAGGAGCTCCACCACTCGCTCGCCCGCGCCCATGAACCTGTCCATGCCGGTCGGCCGCTGGGACGCCATCGGCACCCGCTCGATGGGCGGCAGCACCGGCTCGCGGGCCGCGCGGAGGGTGAGGTCCGCCTCGGGCAGGCGGGCGAGGATGTCCGAGGCCTTGCGCGAGGAGAAGAGGTGGATCGTGTGAAAGGCGTTGGTCACGTCGAAGCCGTCGGCCCACTCCAGCACGTAGCGGCCTCCCGGGTGCCGGTCCGCCCACTCGGTGGCGTCGTACCACTTGCCGGAGATCTTGAGGTGCACCGTCTTGGCGGCGGTGGCGGCGGAGGACGACTCGGCGGCGGCGGTGGCGGTTGGCTTTGCCGGAGCAGAGCTCGGCAGCGGCGGGGTGAGGAGGCTCGTGGAGGAGGAGGAGGCGAGCGCGGCGGCGATCATCGTAACGTCAAATCCTTGCGGGCGGTGAGCGACGGCAGAAGCAGGCAGAACCTGAAGGTGCGAACGATGCCGCCGATGGACTCCGTCGATTGCTCGCGCAAAGAATTCACAATGAACATTCACAGGTAGCCACCCCTCCCTTGGGTTGTCCTTTTTCTTTCTTTCTTTTAGGTACCAAAAGAGGCACAGCGTGAAAGAAAAAGGACACCTCTCGACATAGTCCGCCAGTGGCAGTGCTGGCCGCGCGTGGAGGAGACTTGGAGAGCGCTCTGCCGCTGGTGGGGCCCTGCCTCCGGCGCAATCAATGGAGTCAGAATGGAGCACACTCACACCGAAGCCAGATTGTGCACTCGCGGTACTGTACAATGCCGCGCGCTCCGCACTACGAGCGCGAGTGGCTGCGGAGCCCCCTTGAGCTCCGCCACCTGGTCGAGCGCGTCGCCGAGCAGCCCCTTGGCCACGCTCATGTCGCGCAGCTGCTCCACGCCGCCGCTCGCCCGCACCTCGGCGGCGTGGTCGGCCACGTAGCGGCGGCAATGCGCGAGGAGCCGCCCGTCGCCCGTCGTGTGCGCCGCCTCGAGCAGCGGCACGGCGCTCGCCGGCCCGACGCTCTCCTGCAGCGCCTGCGCGCAGAGCAGCTCGAGGCGCGGCACCTGGTACTTATGCGCCAGCTGCCGCAGCACGAGCGCGCGCCGCGCCTGCTCGCCCTCCCCCTCGCCGAGGTCGAGCTGGTCGGTGAGGAGGTAGCGGACGAGGGCGGTGAAGCTCGCGAGGTCCGTTTCGAGCACCGTGACCTCGGCGGCGTCGCGCTCCTTCATGCCGATGCCAAACATGGTGCGAAAGAACACGGACCGCACGCAGAGGGCGCACTTGCTCACGTGCTCGACGCGCTCCTCGTTGTCGCCGACCAGGAAGGTGACCATACCCTGGGGGCGGCAGAGTAGCGTCGCCCCACATCTTGCCCATGTCGGCGGAGAAGGTGGAGGGCGGAACCACGAGCGGCGCGAAGGAGGGAGGCGGAGGAGGCGCAGCCACGCAGACCTGGCGGAGAGCCGAGCCCATGCGGACCAAAATCGTTGTGCTGTCGGCGCTGATGGCGAGGGCCACTGGGTATTTGAACTGCGCCGCGTCGCCCACGCCATCAGCGCCGCCTTCTTCGCCGCTACCCGCGAGCGTAGTCACCGCGCCCGTCGCCACCCACACCCGCCGGATCTTGTGGTTGCCGTTGTCCGCCACAAACAGCGCGCTCCCGTCAGGACTGATCGTGACGCCGTGTGGGAAGCGGAACTGCGCCGCGTCGCCCACGCCATCAGCGCTGCCGCTGGCGCCGCTGCCCGCGAGCGTAGTGACTGCGCCTGTCGCCACCTCCACCCGACGGATCTTGTGGTTGAAGAGGTCCGCCACAAACAGCGCGCTCCCGTCCAGGCTGAGGGCGAGGCCGGCTGGGCCGTTGAAATGCGCCGCGTCGCCGACGCCGTCTTCCTCGCCTTCCTCGCCGCTACCCGCGAACGTCGTCACCGCATCGGTCGCCACCTCCACCCGACGGATCTTGTTGTTGTCGCAGTCCGCCACAAACAGCGCGCTCCCGTCTGGACTGATCGTGACGCCGTGTGGGAAGCGGAACTCCGCCGCGTCGCCCACGCCATCAGCGCCGCCCACGGTGCCGCTGCCCGCGAGCGTAGTGACCGCGCCAGTCGCCACCTCCACCCGACGGATCTTGTTGTTGTCGGCATCCGCCACAAACAGCGCGCTCCCGTCCGGGCTGAGGGCGACGCAGGAGAACCCGCCGCCTTCGCAGGTCGCCACGGTGCGCCGTCCTCGCCCTCGAGCGCGAGCGTGGTGACCTGGCCGACGGTGCGCGCGCCAAAGATGGGCGCCTCGAAGGCGGCAGCGATCGAAGAACTGTTTGTATAAAGAGCCAGAAAAGACGTCAGCTCACTTGGTCGAATGAAAAGACGACCGTGGAAAACCGCCCGCCGGTCGCAACCCTGAAACATCCAACTCGCGGGCCCGCGCTCTCGTTCGTGGCCCGCCCACACTCGCCGCATTGTGCCCCGACCCGCTCCGCCGATGGACAAATACACCAAGATCCGCGTGGTGGGCAAGGGCGCCTTTGGCGCGGCGGTGCTGGTGCAGGCTCGCAACCGGCCGAGCGAGCAGTTCATCGTCAAGGAGGTGGACATGAGCCGGCTGAGCGCGCGCGAGCGCGAGGAGGCCAAGAAGGAGATCAAGCTGCTCGCCTCCTTCAACCACCCCAACATCGTGCGGTACCGCGACTCCTTCCTCGAGCGCAACCAGCTCCACATCGTCATGGACTACGCCGAGGGCGGCGACCTCCACGGGCTGCTGCAACGGACCGCCGACGCAAAGCAGCGGCTGCCCGAGGATCTCGTGCTCGACTACTTTGTGCAGCTCTGCCTCGCGATGAAGCACGTGCACGACCGCAAGGTGCTCCACCGCGACATCAAGTCCCAAAACATCTTCCTCACCCAGAATCGCAAGGTGGTCAAGCTCGGAGACTTTGGCATCGCTCGGATGCTCAACTCAACGGTCGAGCTCGCGCGAACCGCCTGCGGCGCTCCGCGCTGCCGGTCCGCGCCGCGCCGCCGCCGCGCGTACTCACAGCCTCCCCGCCGTGCTGGCCGCGTAGGCACGCCCTACTACATGTCGCCCGAGATTTGCGACAACAAGCCGTACAATGACAAGTCGGACGTCTGGTCGATGGGCTGCCTGCTGTATGAGCTCGCCTCGCTCAAGTGCCCCTTCGACGCGCGCGACATGCGCGGCCTGGTGGTCAAGATCCTGCGCGGCGCCTTCCCGCCGCTGCCGCACTGCTACTCCGCCGAGCTCTCGCAGCTCATCGCCCGCTGCCTCGCCCGCGACCCGCACCGCCGCCCATCGGTCAACGAGCTGCTCGCGCTGCCACTCATCCGGTGAGATGCAGCCGAGACTCTTGAGATTGGAGCGGGCGCTCAGACGCCAGTGCGAGATTATAGCGCGAGGAACCAATCGAGCGCCGCCCGATGTGCAGCCAAGATGCGCAGCCGGAGCATAACCGAGCCGTGTCGGCGCAATGCGGAGAGGTGGGTGTGCGGCCCAAGCGCAAAGACACGCCGCGAAGGTGGCACGGACGCTTCGACGACCCTAGCGCGCCCCGCGCAGGCGGCGCATCGAGCGCTTCCTCACCGAGCAGGAGGCCGCCTCCGAGTTTGCTCACACCATGATCCACCGCAACCCCAACCGCAACAAGCAGCACCCGGCGATGGGAGAGCTGATCCGCGCCCCGCCGACGCCCGCGCCACGCGAGCCGCCGGCGGCGGCAGCAAGGCCGGCGCCGCCGCCGGGGAGGCCACCGACGTCGGCGGCGGCAGCACGCCCGTCCTCCGCGGCCGGCGGACCAAACATCTTCAAGCAGGCTGGCGCCGTGGCCGGAGCCAAGCCTGCTCCGCCACGCGAGCAGGCGAGGGAGAGGGCGAGCGAGGAGGCGCGGCTTCGCGCGCTGCAAGCCGAGCGCGCCAAGCTGCTCGAGAAGCAGAGGCGTGAGCAGCGAGCGGCCGAGGAGCGGGCCGCCGAGGGACGCGCGGCGGCGGCGCGAGAGGCGGCAGCGCGCGCACGCGCGGCGGCAGCCGATCCGGGCAAGAGGCCTGGCGGCGGGGGGCTGCAGGGGCTCGGTGGGCGAAACATCGTCATCAACGCGGCGGCTGCCGCCCGGCCCGCGTCGGCGCAGACGCCAACTGCGTCCGCCGACCCGGAGGTTGCGCGGTTGCGGCGGCAGCGGCAGCTGCTCGAGGAGCGGCGGCGCGAGCTGCAGCGAGCGCGCGAGGCCGAGGAGAGCTCACAGACCGCGGCGCGGCGGCGAGAGGAGCGCGACGGCTACCCACGCCGGCTCGAGGCGAACCACGGGCCGGGCCGCAACAATGTCGACTCGCCCTCCGCGGTCGCGCGCGACGAGTATCTCGCTCGACAGCGGCAGGCGGAGGTGAACCGGCGCAAGCAGCTCGACGACCTCGGCCTCGGCTACCCCGTTCCCGTCGCCAAGCCGGCTGGAGAGGCGGCGCCGGCGCGACTGCCGCCGCCGCAGCCGCAGCCGCAGGAGCGGCACACAAAGGAGTGGCTGGAAGGCGGCGTCGGGGCGCAAGGAGGGACCCGAAGGAACGGGGGCGCCGGCCGTGGCGGGGGCGGACAGGCAGGCGGCGGCCAGGCAGGCGCCGGCCCCGGCAACGCCAATGGCGGCGTCGACCATCGGGCCAACGTGCTCGCGGCGGCGGCGCGGCGGCGAGAGTCCGAGCTGGCCGAGGCTGACGCGGTGGCACGCGAGGCGGGCCGGCGCATTTGGCTCGAGAATCGCGCGGCCGCGCACGCAAATCGAGCCAAGCTGGCGGGCAACGACGTGGAGGCAAAGGAGGCGGCAGCCGCAGCGAGGGTGGCGGCGGCTGAGGCGGCGGCGGCGGCCGACGCCGCCGCGGCGGCGGCGGCGGCACGGGCGGCCGCGACAGTCGCCGCGGCGGCGGCGCCGCCGCAGCCCTCTGCCAAGCCCGCGCCGCCCGACGAGGCGCTGCTGCCCGCGCCAATCAACAAGGCGGAGATCAGTGCGACGCAGCGGCGGGCCGAGTTCCACGCGGCCAAGGAGGCGGCGGAGCGGAACCGGCAGCGGGTCCTCGACGAGCAGGAGAGGGCCGACGGGGCCGCCGCCGCCGACGACGCGACCGAGCTCGTGGTCGCTGCCGGAGCCGCCAAGCCGATCCGGGTGCCCGGCCACATTGCGCGAAAGCTCGACCGGCGGCAGGCGGAGGCGGCGGAGCGACGGCTACGGCGCGGGAGCGAGGCGGGGCCGTGCAGCGAGACGGAGGCGTGTGGCGATGCGGAAGAGGTGGAGGAGCGCGACTACGCGCCCGCCTCGCCGGTGGACGAGGCGGAGGTGCGCCGGGTCGAGGCGGAGCGGGAGGAGGAGGCTTACAGCGCGCTGCTCGAGACGCTGCGTGAGCTGCAGCTGGCGCAGCCCTTCCATCACCTCTCACCCGACGGCGGGGAGGACGAGCTCGGTGCGACCAGGCCGGCGCGCGAGGCCGCGCAGCCCGCCGGGTTCGTGGCCGCGCCGGACGAGGCGGGCCTCACCTTTGAGCTGGTGGAGCCGGGCTCGGCAGACGGCGACCAGCTGCGCGAGTCGGCGGCCGAGCAGGACCTGCTCGCCGCGGGGCTCATGTCGGGGGTGGACGAGACCCCCGACGAGGAGCTCGGTGGCGCGGGTGAGCCCTCCGCCCTCGCGCTCCGCCGCGTGCTGCGCGGCCACCTCGGCGACGCCGCGTTTGACGAGGCGCACGCGCGGCTGCAGCGGGTGGCGGAGGAGGAGGACGACGACGCGCTGGTGGGCGACCTGCAGCGCATCCTGGGCGCGCACCGCCTGGACAAGCTGCCGATGATGCTGCAGCTCATCTACCTCGAGGAGCAGCGTCGGGGGTGACGCGCGAGGGGGTCGAGGCTGGGGGCGTGCGTGGGAGCGGGTGGAGATGGAGACGGAGGAGCGGGGGGGGGGGGGGGGGAGCTATTTCCCGGCCCCTGCCTGCTGGGAACAAAGGTGCCCTGGGTGAGGCGACTGGGAGTATTCTTCAGATGAAGGAGGAGGAAACACGCACCTTAAGTTAACAGAGAGAGGGAACAAACAAGCTCTACAAAAGGGGCCCGCGCCGATTGGAGAGAAAGAATTTCTTAAGGAAACGAAAGCTCTGGCACAACAAGGGCGCGGACTGGCGCAGACTAGCACACACACCGGCACACCACCGGAGCCGCCTAGAGAGAGACTGCCCGCTGTGAACGGCGCGCTGGTCGTTCCATCAGAGGGTCGTTCCATGTACATATATGAATACGATGTATTTTCTTCTCAAATAACTTTCTTCTCAAATACCGTCTAGACGGTAACAAGGCTGTGAACGGCGCCCAGCACGGCATCCATGACTCTGCTCGAGGTCGCCATCGCGAGCTCTCTCGCCTACCTCGACGACGGCTCGCTCGCCTCGCGGACGAAGTTTCTCGCCTTCATCAAGGACGAGTCGCAGAAGCGCTGCGTCCAGTTTCCTCGGCCGCCGAAAACGGGCCACGCCCTCACGACGCAGGTCGCCATTGACCACTGCTCGTCCCCCGTGCTCGCTCACCTAGAGGTGCACTACTCGCGGTTGCCGCGCAAGGGCCGGCGCCGCACAAACAGTCCGCACCTGCACGACGACGAGGAGGTCATCGTAGTCCTGAACGGGAGCGCAACGTTCTACACCAACGGCTCGGCGAGCCTCCACGCGAATGGCGGCACATCCACCTCCATCTCGGCGGAGGGGCGGACCGAGACGACGCTCTCTCGGCGCGGCAGCTTCGTGTACTTCCCCTTCCGATCGGCACACACGATGGCTGTGGCTCCCGCCGGATCTCGCGGGCCGAGGCGGCGCCTCAAGCAAGGCGGCGCCGGCCGAGAATCCGCCGCCGGGCCTCACGTCGACTACCTCTGCATCCGCTACACCACCCGGCGCACCGAGGGGCAGATGCGCGCGCACAGCGCGAGCGCGCCGGCCGGGCTGTCGCCCGCCAGGGCGTGGCCGACGTTCGTGTCCGGTGGCGCGGGCGTGGCGGGCGGCTTGCTGCACAGCAAGCAGCTGCTCCTGCGGCGGCCGCACATCCACCGCACGACCCTCGCGGCCGGCGCCTCGAGGCCCGTGCACCGCGACGGCGACCACGACGTCCTGCTGCTCGTGCTCGAGGGGGCGGTCGAGGTGGTGCAGCCCGGGGGGGCGACGACCGTCGCGCGCGGCGGCCTCGCGTTCCTGCCCGCAAACACGTCGCACGGCGTGCGAAACGGAGGGGCGGCGACGTCGCAGCACCTCGCCATCGAGTTTCTGGACGAGGTGGCGCGGGGGTCGGCGTCGTAGTATATAAGAGGCCAAATGCTATGTAGACGATAAGAGGTCTCCAGAAGCCGTGCGGCCCCACGGTACAAGAGTCAAGTCTCAAGACATAGAACGAGCCGTGCTTGCGCCCAACGTGCGACGATAGATTTCCACACGTTTCAAATACGTCAGTACACACACAGCACTGCACCTCCCTGTCGACTGTCCTCTCGCGCTGACCCATATCATGTGTGGCGCCGGTGCTCCAGAACTAAGCAGAGCCGCCGCGCCCCGCGCCCCGCCCGCCCCGCCCGCCACGTCCACGCCCCCCTCTCCCCCCTCGCCTACCGACCGCTGCCGTGACGCCCACGGGCTGAGCCTGGGGCGCGGGGCGCGAGGGCGGCTGGTAGACAAACGTCGTCTGCGCCGCCACCTGTGTCCCAGTTGCGGCGATGGGCAGCGCCGGCTGGCGGCAAGTCGGGCAGTTGGTGTCGCGCTCCAGCACGCGCGGCACACACGTCTCGCAGTACAGCGCGTGGCCGCACGCAAAGCGGACCGAGCGCGGCGCGTTCCAGCAGAGGTCGCACTGGCGCTCCTCGGCTGCCGCCGTCTCCTCCACCTCCCCCGCCGCCTCGACTAGCGCCTCCAGCCGCGGCAGCGCCTCCGCGAGCGGCATCCGCTTCCGCTTCCGCTCGTACGCCAGCCCGACCACGAGCCGCGCCAGCTCCTCGGCCTGCGCCGCCGACCAGCTCGCGTCGGCCGCCGCAATGCTCTCCGCCGTGTCGGGCTCCTCCAGCGCATAGTCGCACGCGTTGAGCAAGCCGACGGCGCCGCGGCCGGTCAGGCTGACGAGGAGCGTGATGCCGAGCGCATAGCCGTCGGTCAGTTGAGAAGCTTGGTTGTCCTGCGTGATGATCGGGTCCATGTAGCCAGGCTTGCCAAAGATACGCTGTGTCGACAAGTGCGAGACCTGCTGGCTGCCGCCGGCCGTCGCCTCTGCCGCGCGCGCGAGGCCCACGTCGGCGAGGTAGCCGTTGCCGCGCTCGTCGAGCAGGATGTTGCCCGCCG